TTTTGTTCAGCTCGAAATAATCCCTGGCATATTTTCTGGCCCCTACTAAGAAAGCAAGGATATGCCTGAGTCTTTTAAACCCAACAGTTCCTAAAAAATAGAATGAGCACTTACTAAATGTCATGCCCTATGCAAAAATGTACTTTTATGTCAACGCCATCCATAGAACTTTCAGTGATGATGGCACTGTTGTATACACGCACTGTCAAAATGGCAGCGAGTACCTACATGTGCCTACAGAGCACTTGAGATGTGACTAATTACAGGGGAACTGACAAATTTTTATTTAATTTTAACTGATTTTAATTTAAACAGTCATGTTTTGAAATTACCTTAAGAATGTACATCTCTTGAATAGTTCTTCACAAAAGTCATTTCCAGTTATTTTTATATCGATGCACTGAAGATAATCAAGGACAAGGTTTCTCATCCTTAGCACGACTAACATTTTGGACCAGATAATTCTTTGTTGTGGGGGGCTAGCCTGTGCATTACAGTATGTTTAGCAGCATCTCTGGCCTCTATCCACTAGAGGCCAGTAGCAATGCCCTAGTTGTGACATTCAAAAAAGTCTCTAGACACTGCCAATATCCCCTAGGGGCAAAATCGCCCCCAGCTGAGAACCACTAATCTAGGACTAAAAATCTGAATTCTGCACTCAAAGCTAAGGATACCCTAGGGCAATTTCCTTGAGTTCATGCCTTTCCATTTGGAAACCAGGCAACGCACAAAAGCAGTTAAAAGTAACTATCTCTACACAATATTTTCCACAGAAATTACATTCGTATTTGTGTTTTCCCATCGACTACCTTAACTGTTTCTCCCTGTCCTTGAGGTAGGTTCTATGCCTAATTTCGAGATCGAGGTGGGGGGTGGGGAGACAGGGGGTGAGGTTCTAAGAGTTATATGACCTGCCTATCAGCACATAGTTTCGAATTACTGTCTATACTATCTTACCTTGTGGCCTTACAGCACCTAAAGGGGAAGAAACTCCTTAGAGAAAAACCCTTTCGATATGACAATCTCAATCAAGACTGTTTATGATTGCACAACACCTTATAATGCCAAAAGGCAAAGCTCACAGGAAAATTCCACATATAGACAAACAATGAGAACTGGTTTGTATTGTAACCAACCTGCATCCTGAGGAGTAATTCAGGACAGGGACAAGTCACGCCATACCCACATCACCTTAAAAAGGTCTCTCCTAACCTAGGTTAGGGAACAGTTAAGAGGGTCCACTCCCTTACAAAAAGTATAAGTCAATGTGGAGTCCTGGAGGGAAGAGTGGAAGCGAAGGGGAAATCAAAACTCTAATCATACTGGCCAGCTGCGCCCCAAAAATACAAACCTCTAAGACAGGTGGGATGCCTGAGACAGCAAAAATATTCTGAAATACAGGCCACATGGAATAGTGAAAAGAGCCCTGGACTTAAAAAAAAAAAAAGTCAGAAGACCCATCATGTGGACCTCAGCTGCCTGTCAGTAGGTCACCATGTACCCCTGGATAAATTCCACGATGCTCCAGGCCTGTTCAATTCTTTAGTGTGAAGGCTGGTCCATGTGATTGCACTTTCCAGGTATTAGTGAGCAGGCACTTCCAGCTCTCCTCTCAACCTCAACATGCAGAACCATGTTCTTGGTATTGTTCTGCTGTATTTCTGACACAATGTTTGAAGCAGGAACAGCACTAAATCAAAAAATTCACCAGAAAAAAAATTTAAATGTCACAAAAGTATCTGAGCCCTGAACAGTTTCAATTCAACTCCAAAGATATTTGCTGAGGACCCAGCAACTCTGTGCCAGGGACCTTGTAATCACTCTGGGAAGCCACAACCAACAACCTAGGCTCTTTGAATCTCTCTCCTCTTCTGCCTGTCCTAGCCACCCCCACCTATATTCACCAACTTCATTCTTGTACCATCATTATTATTCATTATCAGCAAGTTTGAAAACACAAATGAAGAAAAAAAATCAGGTATTTTGGTTTATGCTTCGTACATTTCAGACATTTGAGATATAAGACTACTACACGGAACAAAATATTTGACTTTTAACAGGATGTGGGTATTTAAAGAAAGAAATGTTATTTGGAGAAAAAAATACTGATATTTTGAGGCTCAAAAGTTTTCTTTAACTGAGCGATTTATTTGCAGTACCATACTACCTGTCTAATCTTACTGCTTTTAAAAAATCTATTTGTTTATACCCTTTTTCACCCAAAACTATCATTTATCATTTCATTTGTGACTCTCATAAACACATTTCTCATATTCAAATGAAGTTATAGTAGCACACTCTTTTCTGTTACCAAAACCTGGTGAAGTTTTTATTGAACATGAAAATATTCTGGGCTGCTTGTTCTAGTTAATTAAAAGATTCCAGAAACCTGTCCCTTGGAAAAAGATTTTTCTCAAGCAATAGGTTGATTACATTACTTTGAAACTAGGTATACAAAGAGGATCTTTCCTTTTGAAGAGGAGACACAGAACAGCTCCTGCCACAAGTCAACTAATTCAAGACGTAGGATGCATAACTGTCTCAAATGCTGCCTTCACAAATCTCAACAGACCACACATATTTACAGCTCACTAGAAAACAACTATAGGTCCTAAATTTTACCCACAGCACTAATCTATTTTTTCAAATATCTGCCACCAATGATGCATACATGTTGTATGACTCAAATGCACTTGTCTTTTTCCTTATGTCATGAAGTGAAAACGCACGATGATCTAAATATTCTTAATATTGTATACTGACACTACAAGAATCAAAATCAAAGCTGATTACTTGTTTGTACGAGGAATGGAAAAAGAAAAGTCGGCTAAAAAAAAGACATATTACTTGTAAATTTCTGGAAGAGCTGAAGCAAAAGGAATATTCAAAAATGAATCTTAGTGCCCAACACAACTGAAAAATAGGTTTGGCATGCATAGCCAATTGAGTAAGCTAGTCAGAATTCTTGGTACATAAAGTTAAGACAAATATAGAAAACATACCCTGACTTCTCTCCTCCCCAGTGCAATTTTCTAAGTTACACAAGTTACACCATAAGCACTACCAACATGGCTCTATGAATGACAGTAGAGCTATATCCTCACTACAAGCGTGGTTCTAAAATTTTAAAAAATCTCATGTTAAAGTCTTAAAAAGACCTCTAATGAAATCAAGTCAGAGTAAGAATCACATAAAATGTTAAATAATTTAAAAGTTATTTCAGGGGCCAGCCCCATGGCTCACTCGGGAGAGTGTGGTGCTGATGACACCAAAGCCACGGGTTCGGATCCCATATAGGGATAGCCGGTTGGCTCACCTGGGAGAGCGTGGTGCTGACAACACCAAGTCAAGGGATAAAATCCCCTTACCGGTTATCTTTTAAGGAAAAAAAGTTATTTCAGTATCTAAAGGAACTATGTGACAACTCCAAATGGTTAACATTTTCAAAAATGTATTACAAAAGTTTTACAAACATGTTAAATACAATATGTCTACAGCAAATATTAGACAAATCTGAACCCACTGCCAGAAACTAAACCAAGTGCCAGCTCAGGATTTAAACTCTCTGCCCCACCTGAAGCGGTTAGATACACCGAGACAGAAGCCAATATCTTAGCAGCAAGTTAGGCCTCTTCCTCCCTCCAGGAAGCGCATGACAAACAGGGCGTCATGCAACTTAAGTCACACGGTCACTTTGCAAAAATCACATCTCACTTCTAAACTTGGAACCAGATAGAATTCTATGCTCAGAAGAAATACAGAGAGCAGCGAAAAGCACTGGGGGTTTAAAATGTCCCACTTTCTGATCCTCGTAAATATTTAGCCCATCATTAGATCTGAATCTTAGATTCTAGGACATGCTTTCATGGAGGCCTCCCTCAACCTCCTCTGGGTGTGTTTTGCAACACTGAAGGAACTTTTCCTGCTTTATCTCAGTTCCCTGAGAGCATGCGACCCTGCAATTCAATATCCTAAACTGGCAAGGAACGGTGGAAGGTGGGGAGGAATCCAAACCAAAACAGCCTTATGAAAAGACAAAAATACATATATTGAAAGAAATCATAATTCCTCCTCCACCCATAGCAAACCCAACCCAGAAATTTACAGCGTGTTAAGAAAAGCAACATTGCGAAATGCAAACGTAAGACTTTTCCTTTGGCACTCTACGCACGGTTTTCAGCTGTCAAATTACAACTCAGGAAAACACTATCATTAGAATAAAAAAGGAAAGAAAAAAAAAGCTCGCACCACAGGGGCTGGAAGCAGGAGCTGCCAGCACCATTTCAGGAGAAGGAGAGCAAAGGGAATCCAATCCACTTCCCCACCCCCGCCTGAATTCATCCCCTCCCGGGGCAGGCACACCTCACTGCAGGGGTTCAAATTTAATAATAATAACAATAATCATGGCGCTTCCTGCCTCTCTCCTTCCCCTCCCCCCCCCCGATCTGCCGGGAATCGGCTTCTTCCCCGCTCCCCCGCGGGATCCCCAAGCCTGGCAGGTCCAGAGCACCCCACCGGACACAGCTCCCCGGGGCCCGGGCGAGCCCGGTCCAGCCTACCCCAGGGCCCCTTGCCCCGCTTCTCCTCTTCCCTCTCTTTTACCTCCACCATCCCCCATCCGCATTGTCTGTCTCAATTCAACTTTGACTAATATGGATTCCTCGGGCCTGGGCTGGGCGGTAATTACAGCCCGCCCCCCGGGAACGGAGCCCCCCCAATTCCCGCCGAGTTCAACGCGGCTCCCCGCAGGAGGGGGGAGGAGGCTTGCAGCGTGCTCTCCCATCTACACGGCAAGCTCTGTCTACACCGCGCTCCCCCCGCGGTCCCCAGCCCCCAGGACTCTAAGTTTGCCCCGGAAAGGGCCTGCCAGGGGGTAGCGAGGACGTCCCCCTCCGCAGCCGGCCGGCCCGTCACCACCGGCGCCCGCCCGGCTCGATCCCATGGGGGAGGGGAAGGCGCTCTCCCCCCGCCCCCGCCCGTCGGGCCGCCGGCCCTGTTACCTGTCATTGAGCTGGTCCTCGGTGCCAGGCAGCGGGTGAACCACGAAATGGATGGACGTCATGGTGCTTCCTTCTCGTCCTCCTCCCGAGGACTGCCTCCCCTCGCTCTCGCCCGCCCCCCCCGAATTCCCTTCCCCTCCCCAAA